AATAATACGAGCCCTCTAATGCAGTGGTGCAATGAATAGGTAAATTGACGTTCACCGACGGTAATCACAGTGATTACCGCCAGACCGGGAAACCGACCTAATATATCGAACTGTGCAATTGTGTGTGTGTATGCTCGCGTGCTTGTACGTGTGCGTGTCCATGTGCGTGCGCGTATAAGTGCGCGTGTATACCTGTCTCGATGCTGTAGTGCACGCTTGTGTGCGAGGGTGCGTGTCGGTATATGCGTATCACTCAAGTGATGCGTATTCGTAGGGGTGTGTTATCTTCCAGTGCGTGGTTGTAAAAACCGGGGGTCGAGTTCACGAGGCACCAACGGTCGCGGATTCGTTGATTCCGGTGTTCCGGTCTGCATGTGACGTAAAATATGAGTGTAAGTTGATAACAGATGCAAATCGACCGTCTCAAAAGGGATAAGGATAATTTTGGATGTAATGACAACATTAATTTGTGCGAAATTGCGAAATCGGAAAAGAAAAAAAGGTACACTATTTTAGTTATAATGTTCTTTTTTAAATTTTGATGCTCAGTTATCGGTCGATGGTGCCACACTGAATAACTTAATTTCAACTTGGTCAACACATACGCGAGCTGAGCAAAAGGAGTTCCGGATACGCAATGCACGACGAGAACGAGGTGCAGATGTGCCCGGGGGTAAGGAAAACGTAGACTGTAATCTATTATGAATATTTTTCAGTGATTGCAACTTGCACAGAACTAAATATCAACACAGTTGAGAGCACAGCTCACAAGTCATACGAAGATCGCTATACTCCAACTGTAGGGATGGTAGTAAATCGATGTCTCTGGAACGCGATGTTTTTCTATCACACCAAGTAGCAGCAACAGCATCAGCAAACAATCGTTCGTTTGCGAGCTGTCTTTGGTGATGACGCGCCTTCAAGAAGCACTGGGTTTGATTGGTTTGCGGAATCCAGTTGCCGAAGGTGCTTCCTGCTTGATGAAGAAACGGTGTAGTTCACCTGTGGAGGTCACCACCTCGGACAACACTGCTGTTATGCAAGTTATGGTGGAGGAGAATGCACGGGGAACAGTGGAACAAATAGCGAAACCTGTCGGGATCTCATCAATCCCAAAGATTCTATTTGTGAAGCTCGGCTTTAGAAAGGTTTACGCGATCCAGGTACCTCATCAGCACGACGAGAAAAAGAAAGTAGTTCGAGTGAATTGGTGCCGCACCGTGGTTGCCAGATTCGATGGTGGACGTTCCGATGCAGTTTGGGAGATTAACAGTGGTGATGAGACCTGGGTGTACAGTTTCGAGCTAAAGATCAAGCAGAAATCGTCCCAGTTGATGAAGCGAAGGCAGTGTGACAAAACAGATGGTGACTGTGTTATTGTCATGTGGCTGCCTTAATGCCTGCACAGAAAGCGCAGTCACTGTAGACTGGTGGGCCATCCATTATCTGCCGAAATCTCTGGAAGCTATTGCCATACCAAAACCTCGAGCCCGAGGGGCCTTGCTGCATCATGACAATGCACCAGCACACAGGTCACATGTCTTCGGTGAGTTTCTGCCAAGAGAACGCGTTCAGAAGATTGGTTGCCCACCCTACATTCCAGATGTGGATTCATGTGACATTTTGTGCAAACGAGATGGCAAACGCATGATGCGTGGAATCCTATACGAGTCACCGACAGCTGCAGTGGAAGCCTTCACTGAACTGATCTAAGGGTTACCTGCTTCGGCATGTTTGTGCCGCTTCACCGAATAGTTTGAGTGCATGTAACTGTGTGCATAAACGCTTTTGGAGAATATTACGAGAGAAGGTGATGCCTCTTTTTGTTTAAATGCAACTTTTCATGAGCCCGGAAACGTTTTGCTCAGTTATCGTATGGTTTATTATATGACCTACTATTGTGAGGTACTACTTACATTTCTGAGTAGGTCGCTAAAGGATGCGGTTGATAGTTTATTTCAACGGTCAAAAATGGACAAGAACTGTTGGAGCAAAATGTTGCGTTCATCATGGTAACTACAAGAATGAGCGTCTAACAGTGAATCGTTCCATTGACTAGGCTGTGCGCTTGTGGGAATACTGAAAAGGCATTCAAAATGAGCTATTTTGTTGTATGCGTTCTAATTTACCCAATACCCTACCGTTATTTATAATAAACAACTATCCTCATCCAAGCACCGTCGTCTGGATTCAAAACACTCAGACAGTGCACTATAAACAGCTCAGGATTTCGCAATATATACCATGTATATATATATATGTATATATATATATATATACCGCTGGAAGCGTAATGATCCTGTCTCAGACACAAAGTTCCCCGAAGGTGTGCGTTCAGTTCCCCTTCTAACATTGATATAACACTCTATTAAATAATCACCACAGCACAAATCGAAATAAAACAAGGATTCTCGTTCATCCGACTTTCGTTGAATAAAAGGTGATCTATTGCGGTTTGAGCCACTGAATGAAATCAGTGCATCGTTCACGGAACTTCATACAAAAAGCATCTGATTAGGGTGGTGCGCTGGATGGACTGGTACCGTGAGAGCGTTCAGGGGGCACATGAGGAAGTAATTCAAAGGAGCGCCTGATGCAATAGCTCACGCAACAACAGTCCCGGAAGGAACCAACGTTACAAACCTATTGTCAAGGTCAGAGACGGCTTTCTTGTCATCAATCCCAATCCAGGCAAGGTTACTCAAGAAAGAGGTTCCACACATACACATACACACCGTCTGGAGAGACGGAATGGTTGAATTGGGTGGAAGAATGTGACTTCCAGCTGAATAGACAGGTAAACCTGTGAGGAGTGGTTGCTTGTAAATAAAAAGCTGGTTTGAAAACCTGGTGCACGCATCTGTATGCTTGTTCCAATTTTTATTTATCCGAAGTGGCAAATGTGGTAGTTTGGAAACACTGGTTGTCAATTTGCGGTAACTAACGCCTTAGTAGTCTTCCGAGGAGAGCGGAAGTTCCTGCAGCTTATGAGCAACAGTCTATAGTCTATAGTTAGAGTTTTGTCAATACTACTTTTACGGGCGACAACGAAATACATCACATAATTGGTTTAGTTCACTCTTTGTTCCTGTAATCCATACATTTTCAAATGAGGAGCGGTTTGGATTTGAGAGGCCCACGAGGGAATCATCACAGTTCAGGCTAAAACCAGATAAAATGGACTGCGTAAAATGAAACAAGATACATGGGAATCGTTTTAAATTTTGATTTACTAGGAATCGAAGTAGTAATGACTAGGTTAACAGGATGCCGAAAAAGAAGTCCAGGTGACTCACTTATGTAAGTAGTAAAAGTTTTGGATGGTAGTAGATAAGGGGACAGTTTGTAGTACAATCTGTTTTCCTAAGCTAACGTGTAGTTGTCGAGGAGAAAAAAATTATCCGATTCATTCAAGATAATATGAGAGACAGCCCAAAGTTGGGCGCTTGATAAGAAGAAGAAAACGAGTGATGGAGTCAATAGCTGAGCAGTAAACAGGAAAAGTCTAGTGCATAAATTTGGAATTGCCATTTAGAGACTTGACAACACTGTGCACCGAAGCAAGAGCATATATAAAGTAGAGCGGAATTTATTTTTATGCCAAATCATCATTGCGATCAGGTATGGTAAATGACAGCAGAAAAGGGTTCAGAATTGATCGTCTCATCATTGATAAACGAGTCAATTCAACCCAGTCAAGAGTGCACTTTATTCATTCAACGTGGACAAAATTTTCAGTGAAAAGAACACTATCACTACTGCTTCGTCATTCACGCTCTTAAAAATGAGTTTAAATACATGACAAATAGTTTCTCAGATGATAATAAATAGGACGCCGAGAACGCCTAAAAAAATAATGAAAAATTCCAGTGTGAAAATTTACATTAGACTGTGTATAAGTTTGTTTGATATTCGTTCCCTAAAAACCAACACACGTGAACGGTGAGGTACAACGGAGTTGTGAAAAGCAGTGGTACGAGTATATAAAGGTTTAAATTAATTGCGTGTTACAGAAGTTGAAATGGAGCTAGATAAGGCTGTGTGTAAAGTATGGGATGCATCGGACAAGATAGAGTTACACAGACGGTCACCCGCCTTAAGGTGTTGGTTGACAATGAAATCAACTAGCTCCTCATAAGATGCAGCTCCATATCTAGAGATTATTTTCGGAGAGCACCTAATTACTATGAAATCCTCAGACAGTAGACCAGGATAGATAACGGGAGAGCAGTAGGTCCAATGGCATAAAACGCATGGGAAAATAAATTTGGAGATGCTGAAGGCGTGAAATATAAAAGGTCAACTTTTTGACTTTAAGAAATGTTTATTCTATGTGAAAGGGACCATTTGAGGTTAGCAGACAGGATACATCCAACATATTTGAAGTGTTGTGACCTTTCAACTTTAAGGTTATTGATCAAGATATTGGGATCAGATGATCCAAAATGTGTTGATGGTCTACAGTCAATGGAAAATGAAACCTCAATGCATTTGTTCGGGTTTAAAGAAAGCTTAACACCATCAGATCATTTAGAAATGGAACTTGAAGCGGATTCATTGAAGGGTTGTTGTGAGATGCACCACCACCAACTATGTCATCGGCATATTTAAGTGGAAACATTTGGGATGACTGGCAAGTTTTGGATGTAAAAGGAGATAAAATTGGACCTCACACTACACCGTGGTTTACAATAACAGTGGAAGACCTAATACCATTGACAGGGGATTTGGCGTCGGTCGGTAAAATAGTCGTGTATCCAATTAAAGAAATGTGACGAGAGGTTATATTGCCGTAACAGTGACGATAGGATGTTTCTTTCAACAGAGTTATACGCATTTGTGTACTTCAAGAAACAAACGTGAACAACTTTGTGTCTTTGGTATATAGTGGATAAAACATAATCTATTAGACTAGCAACCGCATCTAAAGTAGAGCGACGCTTACGATAAGCAAACTGATTGGAATCACGAAAATTAAGATTAAAGGATCGATGCTTAACAATAATTTGCTCAACAGTCTTAAATAATACTGAAGATGAAGGAATAGACCGAAACTTACCCTTTTCTTTCTTAGATACTGGATTGGTGCGAACATCACGCCATGTCTTCCTGCTGACGGACATGTATTAAAGATGAATGAAACGGTTTGTGCGAGGTGGTTTGCTCATGATTTTAGGACCTTTGGGGATAACCCATCACGACCAGAGGATTTATTTGTTGACAGCATTTAACTCTTTTAAAACTTGCTCTATTGTGACAGACATAGGAAGGTGGAAATCAAGTGGTGCTGTGTTTGGACGCGGTAAGGCTTACACAACGTTTTTCACTGAAGCAAAAGATTTGTTGAGCTCATTGATATTACGTGAGACTGTAGTAGATAAAGTTGAACGACCGCAGAGCAACTTCAGTCCGTTCCGTAGCTGGCGGCCGGATTTGTCCCCTAGCCCGGTGTCGGCATACAATTGATTGATATGGGCTATCTCGCTTCTGATATGAAAGTTGACAGATTTGACCGCCAGTGTATCTCTTGAGCGATACACCCTTTCCTTCAGTCTATGTAACCATTTCAATCGATCAGAGATGAAGCGGTTCGACTGTAGGTGAATCCTTTCTTGTAATTGTTGTAATTTAGTTGTTACACTGTTTGACCCATTCTTCATTTCATTTCATTTGATACAGTGGACAGTTCGACCGTGATGGTCGGTAGCTACGGACCGCAAAAAGAATTACGCGAATGGAATTCAGAAACCTATGTTGCTCCGAAGGGTGCAATGCATCGGGGCACCTATCACGTTAAAAGTCGGTTCCGCGATATTGACAAACATCAGTTCATCACGTGGAGATGGGTGATCAATGTTGTTAAATCTCCCTCAAGCACAGACTAGTTTCTGTGGTTCTTTTCCTTCCCAGTCCCAATAATCCACTTCACTTCAATTTTCCACCTCAATCCTCCTCTCCTTGACCTCCTGATTTCCCCAATCCGGTTTGGTCTGGTCTGGTTTTTCTTTCATTCCGTGTCCGCATCACATCCAACTAGCCAACCCCTATCTCGATAAACTTCCTGTTATGCGAATCGTCCTCTGTCTGTTGATCGTTAAAGAGTCTGGGGCTGTGTACACTTGTGCGCAACCCTCATTCGTCTCTCCTCCTAGCCCTACTGAACAGATTCGTTCAAAGCAATCCGCCATGAACATTGTGGGGCGGCTTGTACCGCGTTTTATCATTCATGTTCTTCCGTCTGTTCCTTCGGGGTTGGACAGTGTTCCGGGTATGCTAACTAACCCTGATCTATGCGGAACTGATCAGAGTTTCATGCGTATTCCGTTGGTACGCCTTATGCCCCCCCCCCTCGCATCTCCGAACCTAAATGTTTGTCCCATTCTAACTGCCTTCGGTGTGTGTGTGTGTGACTGAGTTATGAAAGTAGGGTTCTTTTACCATTGTTGTCACTGCTGATGCACCACAGGTACGAAGGAGCAGTAATGGTTTTTTGCCTATCCCTGATCATGGTCTGATCTCTCCTTCTCGACACACACACACACACACAGTTCAACTCTTCACCCATCTTTCTCCCCGTCCCCAACACGTTCGACTGGTGGTTATTGTGACGCTTTGCTTACTACTTTGCATTGACATGCAGTGTATTTTTATTGCCTCGGCTATTCGCCGGTTCGGTCACACACACACGTTCACTGTGTGCGTGGGTGTCTCATGCATCTATCTCATCCGTTTTTGTGTTTTTATTTTTCACACCTACTTGGCAATCGCGTTGCTCCGTTGTCTTCTTTCATCATCATCGCAGTGACCACCGATTTTGTCTGACTCATTCGTTTGCCTATCCTTACGTTCTCGACACACCCACTCCGAAACCCATCGGCACACACACGCGTGCAACAGTGCACTTTGTGTATGTTTCTTTTTTTCTCGCTTGTACGTGCAAAACAGAAGAGAATAATCTTTATTCGTATAAAAGTAATAGAACTGTGCGTCACGTCGTTTTGCGCGATTTCGCTCGATTGGTCGATCTGTCTTCGGTCATTTTTACAACCGTCCTCTCATTAACGTTTTTCACTGACCCTCCCTGTGGTTCTGCGTAAGGTTGACTTCAAGTTTACTGTAATTTGGGTCAAAACATTACAAGTTGGTTATTGAATTAACGTGGAATTGTATCTAGATGGTCAACAGCAAGTACCGAACGAAATAAATGTTATGAGGTACAAGTATGACACGTGAGACTCCCTTCAGTCACAAGACAACACATGCGCGTAGTGTTATTATGAATGCAACATGTGGGTGGAGACTGCATCTTGAGGTGGCGTGATGGTTTATGCACCTTTATGGTTCAAGGGCTGACTTTCGTCAAACCAAGATATCTTCGATTATCTGAAAGGGCCAAAGGGAGACGTCACGTAGTGTCCAGTCTCCTGATCACCTAAGTTGGGGTCCGACTCGAGCCGGCGTATCAGTTCATTACATGGCGCCGTATCTAAAGATTGGTGTTATATATATATATATATATATTACAGACTACGAACCTGTGGTACCGTCCTGTAAAATACGCGGCGTTGCTACAACACTGGATGCTCACTGTCACGGATTTGATGACTGGGAGTTGAGTATGTTTAACGGCTTCTGTCACCCAAGCAGTTTCGGTGGTAATGACGGTTGCACAATGAAAGTTACCGCACGCATTTCCAAGGATCCGATGGTGTGCGTAGCGCTGAAACACCTTAGTTATCATAGTGACGTTTCACTGAGGCCGAAGGGTCGCGTGTATTGTATTGCTGTGCATTCAATTCAGTTTTAGCATTGTGACAACCTCATTTCGCGCGTGGAAGACGGTCGTCGACTGTAAGTCGTCTACATGTGTTTGTAGCAGTAGGATGCAGCGAATGGGTTAGAACGTTGAGACAAGCAAGCTGTTGTGCGCTTGGGATCGGAAAATTTGTCATGGCCAATCCGGATGAGTGGTCTTCACTGGTTATGAGAAGCATTGCGTACTTGTCTAAGTCACCGTACTTTGTTTGCGACTGCCACTCCATGTGGAGACCCACGGATGATGTGGACACAATTTGCAAAGACCGACACACACACAGAGAATAGGTGCTGCAGATTTCTCTCCTTCACATTATTTGAATCAAAAGACTAGGTAACTGGCTGGCTGGTTGGAAACACTGAAAGCCATGCCTGTGAACGAACATCACTGATGATCTTGCCGCCATTTTTGTCAGCCCATAGCACTTTTAATGCTGTGTGTATCGGTAATTAGACTGACACTTTGTATTAAACAGAATTTCATTTTCTTTTCCCACCGTACATATCCATGCTTGCTTTGTGCGGATTGTGAGATTAGCAAATTTGCCTCACTGTATCTCGATCTACTAGAGTTGCAACCAAATAGGTGGAGACCGCAAAACCGATCATGTTTTTCCGGCACACAGAGTAGCGATGATCAACCTATAGCTCCACCGGTCGTGCTATGGAACCCCACCAATGACATCGAACTTTTTCCTGTATCCAATGGTAACTGTTTGATTGTCTCCCTGTTCCCGAAAAAATGTGCATTCAATAAAATGGAGAGAAAGAAAAAGGAGAAAACAGGAACATTTTTTTCACACGAAGCCCAAATGAAGATGGTCACCTCCAAAAGCCCCAGCATTGTCGGGGGTGGGTGTCTAAGATTGAGGCTGGTCATCCTTCTCTTGCAGCTAGCGAAATGCTCCCGATGCACGATCAAGCGTCTCAAATAGTCTCTGCTAAGGAAGGCCTACTCACTGTTTTCTCCTGCTGACTGAGGTGTTTTCCCACCAAAATGAGAAGACGAAAAGCTGACATCTGGGGCCACAACCGGGTTGATAGACCACTGGTAGTTCACCTAGGTGAGCTGGCCAAAATTCCTGATTCCAAACCAACCATCAGGGGGCATATGAACCACACACAATTTCCTGGTAGTAGCAGTGGTCACCAGCTCAATTGGGCATTGAGGTGTATTGGGCACCTTGGACGTTTGACCCCGTTCAAAAGGCGTATGATCCAACGATCTGGACACCGGCCCCCAATGGATTACGGATTTCACACCGCCCCACTGCCTTGCGGGTCAGACTTTGGTTAACCGACGGCTCCGGTTGTGAATTCCTCAATAAAATTCACCTGCCTTGGCCTGGGCAACCTGGCGGTATTCCGCCCAACTGCACATCATGTAAGGTTTTTCTTTTTCATCAAGATTACTGTACCAGGATTTGTTTGGCACAGTCTGAATTCAGATGTGTGTGAAAACGTATAAAATATATATGGTTGCAAAAGTGTTTCCGGGCAAAACACAAATAGCATAGTTTTCTTTCTTTTCATTTTTACTTCCTTTTATTGAATATACAAAGATACAGTGCGAGTAATGTCCGTATTCGGTGCAGCCATTGGTGAATGCAAGGAACACAAACGGTTTATGGAATCCTATGGAACTAAGTAGTCCGATAGGCAAATGAAGCGAATGATAAAATATGAAGGTCAATATAAAGTGGACGGGATGACAATGAACTAGAACCAAAAGTGGGTGGGGGAACGGATCCAGGGTAGTTCGTATGTAGTGACGCATGAGATTGGTAAGCGTGGAACAGCGAGAGTTCAAGGACGATAAGGGAAGATAACGCACAAATGAGTGGGACGAGGAACGCTTAGAGGCGGTATGTGAACAATAACAATGAAATACAAATTATGTCGTCGGGACCAAATCGCGGCATGATGATGGGCTAAGTACATTCGAAGGTCATCTGTGTATCGGGTCACATGGGTGCACAGTGAATCGAAAAAAAACGGAGCAAAACA